TCTGCTAAATGACTAAAATGTAAATGGGTACATTGAACCCTGGCAACAAAAGATTGGTTGGCACGGATTGACCCAGGGGTGTACAACATGTCTAGTGTGTACACTGTTTCCACTATAGGGTGATACCAGTGCTGTCTTTGTTGATAACAGTTAGCGTTGGGTGACAACAACAAGGCTGAAATCTACTGCTGGCAAGCTCTCCCAAGGTCCCTCAGAAAGTGTTGTCCCAGAGTCTGGACCCCTTATGTCCTTCATGTCCTAACAGGGGCATAATATAGACGTTTTGCAGGGAGAGGATGTCACTGGGCAGTGACCAAATATCCCCTGTGACAGGTTTCACATGCAGATTGTGGCCAAGCCCACAAATAACAGCCAGGCATCTTGTTTGCTCTCATTCTCCGGCCTGTTTCAGATTACTCACTGGGCCTTTTTGAAGTTGGCTGATGGACAGGCAGGGTTTTCCCCTTCCTCTCCTGCCAGAAAAAGATTGGGTCATCATCATTCCCATTCGCTGCTGTATATCTAGTGTAACCCCAGAATATGACGCATACTTAGCTCAGGATTTGATCAGAGACACATAGGGAACCTATAACAAAGGTTCCATGTTGAGGTATCCCCTAAATTCACAGTAAGGGTTGTCATAGTGATCCCTTGTTTTTGGTCACTGGGTCAGCTCTGCAGCACTGTACTGTATACAGTGACTGCCTTGCTTGCATTGTATTAGAAGATAAAAGAAACCTATGGCATAGTAGTGATTCCTTTTATCAACTCACACAGATCCGGTTCTCAACAATCGCAGAAAGGAAATGAACATCGCCAGCTTTGGTGAAAGTAAACCAATGACACTGGAGGTTGAATGCCTGTCGGACACTTTGTTGTCCCGAACCTGCCGCTCTCACTCAGTAAGGGGTTTCACTAGTACGTTCCTAGCCTGCCATGGACCATTGAGCAATAAAAAGCTCTGTAACTAAATCCAGAGTCTAATCCATCCTGGACAATCGCTGGCAGACCTTCTACACTACATGACCAAAAGTATGTGGACACCTGCTCGTCAAACATCTCATTCCAAAATCTTGGGCATTAATATGGAGTTGGTGCCCCCTTTGATGCTCTAACACCCTCCACTCTTCTGGGAAGGCTTTCCACTAGATGTTGCTGGACCCACACTGTGACAGCCTTGTGACATGAGAACAGTGCTGCATGGGTGCAGTCTACAGTCAGGGCCTCCACTCTGCACAGCTACTATATATATATATATATATATATATATATATATATATATATATATATATACACACTACATTGCTGTTGGACAATTAGGCCTGGCTCGCAGTCGGCGTTCCAATTCATCCCAAAGGTGTCCGATGGGGTTGAGGTCAGGGCTCTGTGCAGGCCAGTCAAGTTCTTCCACACCGATCTCGACAAACCATTTCTGTATGGACCCCACTTTGTGCACGGGGGCATTGTCATGCTGAAACAGGTAAGGGCCTTCCCTTGCCAAAAAGTTGGAAGCACAGAATCGTCTAGAATGTCATTGTATGCTGTAACGTTAAGATTTCCCTTCACTGGAACTAAGGGGCCTAGCCCGAACCAAGAAAAATAGTCCCAGACACCACTCCAACCGACGCTTGGCATTGCACATGGTGATCTTAAGCTTGTGTGTGGCCGCGCGACCATGGAAACCCATTTCATGAAGCTCCCGACGAACAGTTATTGTGCTGACTTTGCTTCCAGAGGCAGTTTGGAACTCGGTAGTGAGTGTTGCAACCGAGGACAGACAATTTGCTGAGCACTTCAGTACTCGGCAATCCCGTTCTGTGAGCTTGTGTGGCCTACCACTTGTCGGTTAGGACATCTACTTTGTGCATGACACAAGTAATTTTTCCAACAATTGTTTACAGATAGATTATTTCACTTATAATTCACTGTATCACAATTCCAGTGGGTCAGAAATGTACATACACTAAGTTGACTGTGCCTTTACACAGCTTGGAAAATTCAGGAAAATTATGTCATGGCTTTAGAAGCTTCTGATAGGCTAATTGACATCATTTGAGTCAATTGGAGGTGTACTTGTGATTGTATTTCAAGGCCTAACTTCAAACTCAGTGCCTCTTTGCTTGTCATCATGGGAAAATCAAAAGAAATCAGCCAAGACCTCAGAAAAAAAAATTGTAGACCTCTACAAGTCTGGTTCATCCTTGGGAGCAATTTCCAAACGCCTGAAGGTACCACGTTCATCTGTACAAACAATAGTACGCAAGTATAAACACCATGGGACCACGCAGCCGTCATACCGCTCAGGAAGGAGGCGCGTTCTGTCTCCTAGAGATGAACGTACTTTGGTGCGAAAAGTGCAAATCAATCCCAGAACAACAGCAAAGGACCTTGTGAAGATGCTGGAGGAAACAGGTACAAAAGTATCTATATCCACAGTAAAACTAGTCCTATATCGACATAACCTGAAAGTCCACTCAGCAAGGAAGAAGCCACTGCTCCAAAACCGCCATAAAAAAGCCAGACTATGGTTTGCAACTGCACATGGGGACAAAGATCATACTTTTTGGAGAAATGTCCTCTGGTCTGATGAAACAAAAATAGAACTGTTTGGCCATAATGACCATCGTTATGTTTGGAGGAAAAAGGGGACAGCTTGCAAGCCGAAGAACACCATCCCAACCATGAAGCACGGGGGTGGCAGCATCATGCTGTGGGGGTGCTTTGCTGGATGAGGGACTGGTGCACTTCACAAAATAGATGGCATCATGAGGATGGAAAATTATGTGGATATATTGAAGCAACATCTCAAGACATCAGTCAGGAAGTTAAAGCTTGGTCGCAAATGGGTCTTCCAAATGGACAATGACCCCAAGCATACTTCCAAAGTTGTGGCAAAATGGCTTAAGGACAACAAAGTCAAGGTATTGGAGTGGCCATCACAAAGCCCTGACCTCAATCCTATAGAAAATTTGTGGGCAGAACTGAAAACGTGTGTGCGAGCAAGGAGGCCTACAAACCTGACTCAGTTATACCAGCTCTGTCAGGAGGAATGGGCCAAAATTCACCCAACTTATTGTGGGAAGCTTGTGGAAGGCTACCCGAAACGTTTCACCCAAGTTAAACAATTTAAAGGCAATGCTACCAAATACTAATTGAGTGTATGTAAACTTCTGACCCACTGGGAATGTGATGAAAGAAATACAAGCTGAAATAAATAATTCTCTGTACTATTATTCTGACATTTCACATTCTTAAAATAAAGTGGTGATCCTAACTGACCTAAGACAGGGAATTTTTACTAGGATTAAATGTCAGGAATTGTGAAAAACTTAAATGTATTTGGCTAAGGTGTATGTAAACTTCCGACTTCAACTGTATAGTAGCTGTGCAGTGCAGAGGCACTGACTGTAGACTGCACCCATGCAGCACTGTTCTCATGTCACAAGGCTGTCACAGTGTGGGTCCAGGAATCCATGGGACACTGGAATGGTGTGGGAAGACTGAGGCACAAGTGAATGTGTTTTAATAGGCATACTAGCATTTAGGATGGTCACTGGTATTTCCTTGATGATGCAGCAGTTGAAAGTGGTATTGGTCTATTAAAAAAAAATATGTATGTAATACGGACTCAAGATTGACTATTAAAACACTTCAGATAGAGTGACAACAGAGGAGGAGGTAGACAGAGTGATTGACTTTGAAATTGTTGTCTGGGGGTCAGACATATTTGTTGAAATTATCACTGTCTGAACATGTTTATGATTTGAGAGGTTAATAAACATAGCCTACTTGATGACCGGATTTGAATTATAGCCAGAGGAATTTACTTTAATTGTCAATCCTCTTGAATTAATTATTTAAAATGAGCCTATAGTGGATAATAGTTGTCAAATATGCCCTAAACTTTCATAATTAAATATCTTTAGGATTCTAATAATTCAAAACGTAAGTCATGCTTATAGTTAATAGATTAGCCTAAAGACCTTACACTTGTAATAATTAGACATTCTCCAGCCTTTTAGCTGGTAGTTTGGATAACCACACTTATTTATGATAAATGTGTAAGCCCATTATTTTGTGCTCATTCATTGTGATGTGAAACATAGGCTACTGTCTACTACAGTATGTTTCCATACCACATTGAATCTCTTCAATCACTGACTTTCTCGGGTGTAGCCTATGTTATTTTTAATGTCAGCAAGGCAATGTAAATAGGACAATATTATGCCTACTCAGTCAAATTATTGATGAGATGTGGAATTCAGCATCAGACGCACGTGGACAGCTCCTAGTTGCAATGGTGCGTACTAATCCTTGAATGCTCACGAACACTCCGACTATATGGCTCTTGCAAAGTTGTCTTTCGATCACCAGTGAAGTGGCAGAGACCGAATTGCATATGAACCCAACACCCAATGTTACAATACTGCTTACTGAACTCTACCCACCTGACCCGTGAAACCACACCCATAATGGAATATACAAGGTCCAAAGTGTCAAAGTGCCAATCAACTCCGGCTCCGACTTCGTAACATATTCGCGCAGTTCAGAAGGAAGAACATGTGCTAGATGCACGCTAGGTCTTTGATGGGATAGGCTATTGCCTCTATCCTGGTTTTCTTTTTCCCCTGGAAGCCTAATATAATGCTAAGAATATAAGATAATTCCTTGGAATGAGATGGAGATGCACTTATCGAATGCAACCGGTTTGTTTGGATTTAATTTCGACACAAACTAGACTAATCGAAATAGGTGGCATATGGGTAGGCCTACTTTTCTCTTCTGAAAAGGGTAAACTACATTTTAAATTTAATTACGATGAAATGGCAACAAAATACCAGCTTGAAATACACTTGAGGAAATGTGACAGTTAGACTGAATATAACCTATCCCAAATATCAAAACGTGTGCATTTAAGAAATTAATGAAGACATCGGTTGTCCTACCTTGACATGAAGAGGATTCACTTTTGAATGAGAGATCCAGTTTTACCAGGAGATATGACATTCCAAACGTTTTTACCAAACACTGCTTCGGAATTTACCCTCGACGCAATGCTGGCCCGACAACCTCAGTTTTTTCCTACCATTGCGTTAACTTCCCACAGGTCTCTTCACTTGCCCGTTGCGCAAAGGCATCCCATGCTGGATCCGGCCAATGCTGAAACGATCCTCCGCAAAGCCTCGCTGGAACAGCATGCTGCAACCCAGTCTGCCAAGCTCAGGACTCCTAAAACGCTGGAGACCGAAGCCAACGAGGATGATCCAAAAGTTAACTTGGAGGCGAGGGACCTTTGGACACAATTCCACAAATTCGGCACTGAAATGGTCATAACAAAATCAGGAAGGTAAATGTTATAAAATATCATAAATAACCATAGCCTATAAAGTTATTCGTTTTTATTCTATACGTCTGTGATTTAGAATCGATATGTTTTACCTTTTCTCCAGGCGCATGTTTCCACCGTTCAAAGCAAGATGTACTGGCTTGAACCAAAAGGCAAAATATATTTTGCTGATGGACATTGTGGCAGCCGACGACTTCAGGTACAAGTTTCACAACTCCGGCTGGATGGTGTCAGGAAAGGCAGATCCTGAAATGCCTAAAAGGATGTACATACACCCAGACAGTCCCGCTTCTGGCGAGCAATGGATGTCAAAAGTGGTCAATTTTCACAAACTAAAATTGACAAACAACATCTCGGACAAGCATGGGTTTGTAAGTTCCAAAAATACTAGTGTTAATAATGTAGGCTATTTACAGTGCAGTTTGACTCATCTAATGTATTTTCATATTGCAATATAACTGAAAGACTAGTTTTTCTTAAACTGCGTAAAGTTCGAGTTGATGACTAGGCCTAATTTATTATTTAAAATGTATGTTGTCTCCAATTACAGACGATTCTTAACTCCATGCACAAATACCAGCCCAGGTTTCACGTTGTGAGGGCCAACGATATCCTCAAACTACCTTATAGCACGTTCAAGACCTATGTCTTTTCTGAGACCGAATTCATTGCTGTAACTGCATATCAAAACGATAAGGTAGGCCCTTCATAATTTCATAAAGCAAGTTTCAGAATAACAATGTATTTTTCGTATTGGTAACACTCTGGAAAATATAAATTATATATACAGTACCAGTCAAAAGTTTGGACACACCTACTCATTCAAGGGTTTTTCTTTATTTTTACTAATTTCTACATTGTAGAATAATAGTGAAGACATCAAAACTATGAAATAACACATATGGAATCATGTAGTAACCAAAAAAGTGTTAAGCAAATTAAAATATACTTTATATTCTTCAAAGTAACCACCCTTTGCCTCGATGACAGCTTTGCACACTCTTGGCATTCTCTCAACCAGCTTCACCTGGAATGCTTTTCCAACAGTCTTGAAGGAGTTCCCACATATGCTTAGCACTTGTTGGCTGCTTTTCCTTCACCCTGCGACTCATCCTAAACCATCTCAATTGGGTTGAGGTCGGGTGATTGTGGAGGCCAGGTCATCTGATGCAGCAATCCATCACTCTCCTTCTTGGTCAAATGGCACTTACACAGCCTGGAGGTGTGTTGGGTCATTATCCTGTTGAAAAACAAAAGAGATTCCCACTAAGCGCAAACCAGATGGGATGGCGTATCACTGCAGAATGCTGTGGTAGCCATGCTGGTTAAGTGTGCCTTGAATTCTAAATAAATCACTGACAGTGTCAGCACCCCCACACCATCACACCTCCCCCTTCATGCTTCACGGTGGGAACCACACATGCAGAGATCATCCGTTCACCTACTCTGCATCTCACAAAGACACGGCGGTTGGAACCAAAAATCTCAAATTTGGACCAAAGGACAGATTTCCACTGGTCGAATGTCCATTGATTGTGTTTCTTGGCCCAAGCAAGTCTCTTCTTCTTATTGGTGTCCTTTAGTAGTGGCTTCTTTGCAGCAATTCGACCATGAAGGCCTGATTCACGCAGTCTCCTCTGAACAGTTGATTTTGAGATGTGTCTGTTACTTGAACTCTGTGAAGCATTTATTTGGGCTGCAATCTGAGCTGCAGTTAACTCTAATGAACTTATCCTCTACAGCAAAACTCTGGGTCTTCCATTCCTGTGGCGGTCCTCATGAGAGCCAGTTTCATCATAGCGCTTGATGATTTTTGCGACTGCACTTGAAGAAACTTTCAAAGTTCTGGACTGTAATTTCTCTTTGCTTATTTGAGCTTTTTCTTGCCATAATATGGACTTGGTCTTTTACCAAATAGGGCTATCTTCTGTATACCAAGCCTACCTTGTCACAACACAACTGATTGGCTCAAACGCATTAAGAAGGGAAGAAATTCCACAAATTAACTTTTAACAAGGCACACCTGTTAATTGTAATGCATTCCAGGTGACTACCTCATGAAGCTGGTTGAGAGAATGCAAAGAGTGTGCAAAGCTGTCATCAAGGCAAACGGTGGCTACTTTAAAGAATGTTAAATATATTTTGATTTGTTTAACACTTTTTTGGTTACTAAATGATTCCATATGTGTTATTTCATAGTTTTGATATCTTCACTATTATTCTACAATGTAGAAAATAGTAAAAATAAAGAAAAATCCTTAAATGAATAGGTGTGTCCAAACTTTTGACTGGTACTATATATTGCATAAAGAGTTTATAGATGATGATGAACAATTATTGTATTGATATAGACTTAAATCCAGGTCTAAATGAATTACTGACATATAGTCATAGCTATACTCTATAGCATATTATGCCCAAGGCTCAATATTTGGCAAGTAATGAAATGTTGATGTTTGTGTTTTCAAATATTTTGTTCTAATGTGCAATGTATTTGCACAACGTTTATTAACTGCTTATAAACCATTTACAAACTTCTTGGGAACAAATATTGTGTTTGAATCTCCTGCCTTATCACTAGCCTATAGCCTATGAGACTGATTATTAGTGTTAAAATGTAGTTACTGGTCTAATGTTTAGAAACATTACCGTCTTTAACAGTGATTTCTATTTTCAGATTACACAACTGAAAATTGATAACAATCCTTTCGCAAAAGGATTCCGTGACACTGGCAATGGTAGAAGAGAAAAAAAGTGAGACAAAAAACGACAAATGTAAATCAATATACTAAATACTTGTAAAACTCTTAATTGTCAATAGGCCTACTAAAATGTTCTTTTTTTATTAGGAAACAATTGGGGATAAATACACAAAAGTTCAGTGAAACCTCTGGTGACTCTTTGGATGAGGCTCCACTGAGAGGCGCAGGAAACGCAAAATCAACCGGTGAGTTTGTATGATAACGAAATTAATACATTTGTAGCCTTCGTACCATAATATATTGTAATGGTAAAATGTTTAGCCTCAGCTTGTTCTCAGTTTACAAACAACATTGTATTTTAACCAAATCATGTTAGAGGGCTGCGAAAGTGACAACGAAAGCGGTCAAGAAAGCAAAAATGGGCATAATGTTGGACAAGACTTGCGAAAAATTTCAACCACCACCGAGGAACTGAAACCTGAGCCAAATGTTACCACAGTCCACGACAAAGCGGACAGGGCTTCAACGGACTCACTCAGGACCGAAACAGACTCGGAGGATCCAAAACAGGACCATATAAATTCCATAACTGGCGGTATGACAAGTTGCTTTGGAGCAGAGGATCCGAGGGCAAGAGGGCACTTCCAGCCTATAACCGTGGAAACGGACCAAAGCGCTCACATCGCAGGCTTAGGACGCAACAGTTTTTCACACTGCTATTCTTATCCCCCGGATTGGACAAGATATATTCTCAACCCCTTGGGTGTCGCTCACCGTCTCCTACACAATGCCCAAGTCAACATGCAGGGAGCACCTTTATCCAGTGAAGCAGCGACAGCAATGGGGCACATGCTGGCGGCTGTGTCATCTGGCGGAGTGTGCACCATGGGCACGGCTGGTATCCCAGTATCTTCTGTACAAGGAGTGTCAGGAACGTCAGGATTACCCTTGAACTTTCAGCAGCATGCTATGGCATCGCAGGTATGCCTATCATCTATTAATTCAGCAACAATACTCACTCAATAGGCGGCCTTTAAGCCTATGACGTCGTATATTAAATAATTAGGCTAATTTAAGTCCTTAATTATTAAAATAGCAGCAAACTTTGCAGCCCTAACCGCTCTTTCTTTGTTTCCCATATAGGGTCTCACGGTTTCTCCATTTGGTGGTATTTTCCCCTATCCCTACTCCTATTTGGCCGCAACGGCTGCTCTCTCCACCAAAGCATCAACCCCAGTGCGCCTTCGTACCCGGTTCAAACCCTACTCCATTCCCAATAGCGCACCAGACAACTGTTCGACGCCCCCGACATCTATTCATCTTACGACTGATAGAGACGTGAATTGTCACAGCATTGCAAATAGTCCTATTGCTGCTCCATTGGACTGTAGGCCTATGTCAGAGGTAAACAGCGATTCCTCGCCACAGGGTTCTCGTGCGCCAGCGGCAAAACGCGTATCCAGCAAAGATTGCATGGATCAGCTTCAATGTATGCAACAGTTGGTCAGCGGTATAGACTCCTATCAAGACAGAGAGTCATATTCCTAGGTCATAAATCTAACGCTGATTAGAATGATGAGATTTTTTTTCATAGCCTGATTAATTAAGATTGAAGTGTTTGCTATCAACCCAAATGGCATTTTAACATTTCTAATGCGGAATGTATGCATAATAGATAACAACATTGTTTGAGTCTGTGGAATATGGTTGCGCTTGTGTGTTGATGATACTGTAATTTGTTCACTGATGGCACTGAAGTTTATTTGCAATAAATCCCCAATGTTTTTATATATCACTCAGCCATGCTATGAACCCCTATAAACCACATTATTTTTCAACCAAAGTACGTGTGTAGTTCAAATACGATTTATTTTGTCTTGTTGACAAAGTAGTTCAGGACATTTTAGAAATTCGTTTTATATCCATAAATGTTTTTATGGAGGAATGTTTTTGCTGACTTGTTAAACATTGAAAAGTCAATGGCGTGGCTTCTGTCAATTAACCAATATCATTTGCAGTTTCAATAAGACAATATTCTCAAAATAACCATTTCATTTAGCTATTTTAATTTGCTGTAATTATGTGCGTTGTAGATCCAAAGAAATTGTCACAATATATTTGGGGAACAACTTGTACGCCTATAATTTATTACAACCCATTATATGCCTCCATAGCGCTTTGTTATAACATGTTTGTTCATTTCAATAACTGCACTTGAATGCGTTTTATGAACTCAACAAAATAATGTTAAACGAAATAAAAGTATTCTGTTTTAATGGTCGAGGAGGTTCTTGAATAGATTTTATGTTTGAAAAGTTTCAGTTGATTTAAAACGAAAAAAAGTATACATTAATTGGCTACCTCCCTACTGTGTGCGTTTTTAACATTTGTAGCCTAAAAGTATATAAAATACATTATTAGGCTTGCCTACTATTACGGTAATCGTTTACTATCATTGCGCTTATAACTACTACTTTGCAAAAATATGTATTTTTTGTGTGCAAATTATCCAGTAAGTTTCATATGATGACCTATATGAACAAATGATTACAAAACATTTATATTATAAACATAAGTTATTGTTCTTTATTGCATAAGCTTATATACGTCCGGGTTTGGCCGGTGTAGGCCGTCATTGTAAATAAAAATTTGTTCTTAACTGACTTGCCTAGATAAATAAAGGTTAAAATATATCGGATCAAGCATTAGTTGGCTTTTAAGATGTGTTTCTCCTGGTTAACAGGTCATCACTAGTTGCCACAAAGTAATAAACCCCACCTATTTGTCAAATTTCTCTTCTTAAATTTTTACATTTTAGTCATTTAGCAGACACTCTTATTCAGAGCGACTTACAGTTAGTGAGTACATACATTATTTTTTTTATTTGGCCATTCCCTACCCTACCCTGGACGACGCTGGGCCAATTATGCGCCGCCCCATGGGTCTTAAAATCTGACTTTAAAGCTAACCCTACACTTAACCATATGCCTAACCTTAACCTTAACGATAAGTAATAAAACAAAGATGGCACTTCTAAAAGCCTATTTCACACCATAGCCTGCTGAATTTGCAAGGTAACATTTCTTTCAGTTTGATTTTGGCACAAATGAAAATGTGGCACTGACTTGTCACTCCCCCATGGATTGATGTTTCAGCATTGACTCAATGTGAGACATGCATACACAGCAGGGCCGGCTCTAGCCTTTTGGGGGCCCTAAGCTGTTCTACCCATATTGCAATGGGGCAGAGATAAGATGTTGCTATTTTTTTTTTAAAATCCTGCAATTCTACCCATTTTACCTTGGAGAGACATTTTAGCATTTTTAAAGTTAATTTCGTGCAATTCTACACATTTTGCCATGACTTATGCCATGTTAATGATATCTGAGTGAGAGTGACTAATGGTACAGACACACCGAGAAATATGACTGCCGATAGGTACTTAGCACAGTAGGAGGCTGTTCCTTCTTTAGCTAGAACAAAATACATCCCTGCCATGTACTTACCTGATACCAACAAACCTCACGTTTTTACTTATAGAATCGCAATGCTCGTCAGTGGCGAGAACTTGACTTTGAGCCAATCAAAGAGCACAAACATCCAGCTGGGGGAGCCGACAGGAAGTGACAAGAAAAAGGAAAAGAGGGAACTTTTCTGTTGTCACTAGTTACCACAGCCACAAAGTCATAATTATGGCTAAACCCCGCCTATTTAAAATACATATTATTAAAATCTGATTTTAAACCTAACCCAAACCTTAACCACACTGCTAACCGTATGCCTAACCCTATCCTTAAATGAAGGCCAAAAGGCAAATTTTAGTTTTCATTAATTTTAACGATATAGCCTGGACCTTGTGGATGTGTGGTAACTAGTGACAACCAAATGTTTCCTGGTGTAATCCACCCACTTTTCATCAGAATTGTTCTAGCTACTGTAACTAAAACAATAAAGCAAGTAGAGCAAGTATTTACATCTTTCACATCTAGCTAAGGAGTTTTTTGTTGTTGTTAGGTTCTGTTTAATAATGTGCACCTGCTCATTAGTTAGCTAGCTAGTTAACGTTTGCTTGCTAACTGAGCCAGACAGTCACACACACTTCACACTTCATATGAAACTAATGGGGATGTAAGTGCAGCACAATGCACACAACACTAAATGCTTAACCAAGCTAGCAAGATGATGAAGAAATCATTTTATTCACTCTCCATTATCCCGTACTCTTGAGTGACATACTTTCTGCATTGGTCGTCTTTGGTAAAATCATTTTCGGAAAAAATTATACAGCCCATGCTGTGATAATATGTTGACTTGCCTTTTATGGTGCATACTATAATTATAGTATCAACAAATGGCACAGGCATATGCAAGAGGGTTAGCCATGTTAGAGTATATTGATAGTTGTAGTTAGTATTTATTGGGTCATTGTGTAACGCTTGATAGAAATAACTTTTCATTAGATAACAAGTTGTATGTTTTGATGGGATGTAGTTGATTTTGAGTCATGTATTTCATGTTTTGAATGTTAATGCATTTTGCAAATGAAATGTGTCATTTGGCCAACACGTTTCAGTTTGGGGCTACGTGTTAATTGTTTTGAAAAAGTGAATTCTGTTTGGACAAAACTGTATTCATGATGCCATGATATGTGCCTGTATTGATTATGTGTGTTATGATCCCATGTAATGTGTTGAAATTTGGATGTAATATCCTAGGCATGTTAGTGCAATGTATTGAGATGTGATTTACAACAGTCAGAATGACACCCTCATTAAAATGACAATTGAACAGGTAGAGGTATGCTTAGATAACCTATGCAGAATAATAAACATTATAGAATTAGGCTTAATGATTATGGCTCTAGATTGCAGGGAAAGCTGTTTCGGGTGTTTGAAAAATGCAAAATTCTCTAACTTCCAGGCCAACCATCCTCTTGTACTTCGCGCCCCCTCTAAAACAATGGCTGCATGATGCTCCTGCTTAGAGGTAACCCAACTTCATTATCTGCGTCTCTGCATGTCCGCAATATTGTGAAAAATCATAAATTAGTCCTCATTACCTATCCCTATATTGTGGTATGACACTGATGGGACTTTTGTGCACTAGTATTTACTGATTGCTGGATACAGTGAACACAATTGCACACATTTATCTTTTGATGAAAACCATGTGTTATATTTTGTGAACAAAACACTTATAGCTCGCAAGCTTGTAGTCCTAAAAAACGTAAATGAGTTACCATTTTCTACCTCTGGCTCGTTGGGCATTCCTATAGGGGAAATTAATGTGGAAAATAATGCGAACTGAGGTGTAGTTTTATTTTGTATATTTTAGCATATCGTTAGCTTTATACTTGTTTTTATGACATAAATGCTTAAAATTCACAAAAAGTTAGGTTAGCGGATGAGATTATCTCATAGAACAAAACGTCTCCTAAACCTGTGTTTACCACCGAGTTTATTTTCAGCGTTTATCCCCCAAAAACATTAATTTCCCCATAGGCTTTGTCCAAGGAACCATGGCAGAGTTAGTCTCCGTTAGTGCCTACAAAAAGACTCCATTACTATTGCTCTCTATAGGGGTCGATTTGAGATTAGGCAAAAGTGATGAGCGGAGCTATAGAGATCCTATTAAATTACTAATTATTAGTTTAACATTCTAATTCTTAAATCTATGTTCGGAGCGCACACACTTCTGAATGTCTCACTTCAGTACTGGTGGCGGCGTTGCATTGAGTTCAATTTACTTCAATAAATAAACAGAAGAAGAAAATCAGCGCTTTCGTTGACGTCACATCCAGTTTCTTCCCAGCTGGATGAAATAACAAAACAACGACATCTGTCCTTGTTCTCATCTTCGAATAAACTACGAAATAAGATGGTATGAGACAATCAATGTAATCTAGCCATATTAGCCAACCTATTCGACGGGATACTGGTAGATAGAAATACAATATGATCAGTTCTTAGCTAGTTCTAACGTCAGAGCTAGCTAGCTAACTGATAGTTAGCCATTGCTTGCTAATATGACGGACGTTTCTCCAATCCAATGGAGCCAACAAGCAAGCTATAGCTAATAACAGCCGCAGTATAACCAAGGTTGAAAAGATGGCTAGGATTTCGGTCAGCTACATTCTTCTTTGCGGGCAAGTTCTCTTGCTACTGACAGTGTTGCTTTTGCAATGTTTGGAAGGAATACGCTCCCAGAATTCATCAGACTCATCCGGACAGAGAGCAACAACAGCTGCATTCAGTGAGCAGCCACAGGAGAACGTCACGTCGTATCAAGCGGTTGAACGCGTGAATTATACTGAACAATATGAATACAGGCCCCCGTCGCCAGTTGTCCTCTGCAACTATCTGTAAGTATTGTATGTGTTTATACACTGAACAAATATAAACGCAACATGTAAAGTGTTGGTCCCATGTTTCATGAGCTGAAATAAAAGAAAACAAATGTTCCATATGCAAAAAGTTTGTTTCTCTTAAATTTTGTGAACACATTTTACTTCCGTGATAGTAAGCATTTTTCCTTTGCCAAGATAATCCATCCAACCTGACAGGTGTGGCATATCAAGAAGCTGATTGAACAGTATGATCATTACACAGATGCACGTTGTGTTGGGGACAATAAAAGGCCACTCTAACATGTGCCATTTTGTCACATAACACAATGCCAGAGGGAGCGTGCAATTGGCATGCTGACTGCAGGAATGTCCACCAGAGCTGTTGCCAGATAATTTAATGTTCATTTCTCTACCATAAGCTGCCTCCAATGTCGTTTTAGAGAATTTAGCAGTACATCCAACCGGCCTCACAACCGCAGGCCACGTGTAACCACGCCAGCCCAGGACCTCCACATCCGGCTTCTTCACCAACGGGATTGTCTGAGACCAGCCACCTGGACAGCTGATGAAACTGTGGGTTTGCACAATCGAAGAAGTTCTGCACAAACTGTCAGAAAGCGTCTCAGGGAAGCTCATCTGTGTGCTCGTCGTCCTCACTAGGGTCTTGACTTGACTGCAGTTCGGTGCCATAACCGACTTCCACTAGAGCTGTTGCCAGATAATTTAATGTACATTTTTCTACCATAAGCCGTCTCCAACGTTTTTTTAGAGAATTTGGCAGTATGTCCAACCGGCCTCAACCGCAGACCACATGTATGTAGTTGTGTTGGGTGAGCAGTTTGCTCATGTGCCCCATAGTGGCGGTGGGGGTATGGGTAGGCATAAGCTACGAACACAATTGCATTTTAATGCACAGAGAATGCTTGACAAGATCCTGAGGCAGATAGCTTAGTGGTTAAGAGCGTTGTGCCAGTAACCGAAAGGTCGCTGGTTCTAATCCCCGAGCCGACTAGGTGAAAAATCTGTCTATGCCCTTGAGCAAGGCACTTAACCCTAATTGCTCCTGTAAGTCGCTCTGGATAAGAGCGTCTGCTAAATGACTAAAATGTAAATGTAAATTGTCGTGCCATTCATCCGCCGCCATTACCTCATGTTTAAGCAGGATAATGCACGGCCCCATGTTGCAAGGATCTGTATACAATTCCTTGAAGCTGCAATTCCTTGTCCCAGTTCTTCAATGGCCTGCATACTCCCAGACATGTCACCCATTGAGCATGTTTGGGATGCACTGGATCTACGTATATAGACAGCGTGTTCCAGTTCCAGCAACTTTGCACAGCCATTGAAGAGAAGTTGGTCCAACATTCCACAGGCCACAATCAACAGCCTGATCAACTCTATGCGAAGGAGATGTTGCGCTGCATGAGTCAAATGGTGGTCACACCAGATACTGACTGGTTTTCTGATCCACGACCTTACCATTTTTTATAAGGTATCGTTGACCAACAGATGCATATCTGTATTCCCAGTCATGTGAAATCCATAGATTAAGGCCTAAGGAATTTATTTCAATTGACAGATTTCCCAATATGAACTGTAGCTCAGTAAAATCTTTGAAATTGTTGCGTTTTTTGTTCAGTGCCAGTACCACAACAAATTGCTTTCAGAGACTGCTCTCTTAAGTTGATGTCTGTCACCTCTTGCTTTTTTTGAGTGTCTTAGCGCCCTGTTTGCCCAGCCCGTTTTCTAATGTGCTACACAAAAATAGACAGAATACACATTTAATTTTTCCCTTTTCTGTCGGCATGTGAAGACCCGAGGAGTTCATACACTGTCAAGATCCAGTGGACCATGCACAGAACTCCACTGCCATTCTGGAGATGGGACATGGTTGTTGGAAGGTATGTCAAACCATAGTGGATAGGCCTCTCTCTCTCGCTCAATCTGTGTGTGGCCTTATATTCTGCTAGTATGATGACTAGTCAGTCAAAAACAGATGGGCAAACTGGCACGGTTGAACATTCTGTTTAGATTCTTGGTATTCCATCAATTTCCATGTGTAAACTTTGTGTGATCTCATCTGTCATTCAACTAAATCACAACTTTTGTTTAGTTTGGAGGGCAGGTACACAAAGACGTGAATCACACACCAGTCATCTGCACGGCACTGGATGACATTGAGTGTGCTGGACCCAGGGAGTTCCTGAGAGGGAATGAGCCATGCATCAAGTAAGGGAGAATCTAGCTGCTGTACTTGACTCTGCAGTTTCAGACAAGCTCATCAGTCATTGTTTGTTGTTACATGATGATAATAGTCATTCCCAGTTTACGGTACAGATAGACACCCTGCCTGACTTCATCATTCAACAGATTTGAAATACCTGCTTGGAGGTCAATACTATATACCAGGGCTGTTCAATTCTGGTTCAGGAGGGCCGACACGCTTCTGTTTTTTGTGTCTACCTGGTAGTTAATTGCACTCACCTGGTGTCCCAGATATGAATTAGTCCCTTATTAGAAGGAGAGGATGTGGTCACTGAATAGTTTGATGAGCATGAAAACATTCTAAACCAGTGGTCACCAACCTTTTCTGAGTCAAGATCACTTTCTGAGTCAAAATGCAAGCTGAGCTACTGCTCAGATATGTATCTTTTTAAACATGGCTTAAACGTAAACCTATGCAACATGAACCAATTAAAAACAGTTCTGTAGCAATGACGTTTGTGCAGTAGGCTATAAGCCCAATAAATTATCACTGCATATTGGCTATGCTTGAATTGCCCTGCCAATGTTGTTCTTAGACCATTAAAAAAAATGTAGGTATATGATCACACTGGTAATAGATCATTTGTTGTATTACTTGTGAGGCCCAGCTGAGTGAGCATAATATATACAGTGGGGAGAACAAGTATTTGATACACTGCCGATTTTGCAGTTTTTCCTATGTACAAAGCATGTAGAGGTCTGTAGTTTTTATCATAGGTACCATTTCAACTGTGAGAGACGGAATCTAAAACAAAAATCCAGAAAATCACATTGTATGATTTTTAAGTAATTAATTTGCATTTTATTGCATGACATAAGTATTTGATACATCAGAAAAGCAGAACTTAATATTTGGTACAGAAACCTTTGTTTGCAATTACAGAGATCATACGTTTCCTGTAGGTCTTGACCAGGTTTGCACACACTGCAGCAGGGATTTTGGCCCACTCCTCCATACAGACCTTCTCCAGATTCTTCAGGTTTCGGGGCTGTCGCTGGGCAATACGGACTTTCAGCCAACCTCCAAAGATTTTCTATTGGGTTTCAGGTCTGGAGACTGGCTAGGCTCTCCAGGACCTTGAGATGCTTCTTACGGAGCCACTCCTTAGTTGCCCTGGCTGTGTGTTTCGGGTCGTTGTCATGCTGGAAGACCCAGCCACGACCCATCTTCAATGCTCTTACTGAAGGAAAGAGGTTGCGATACATGGCCCCATCCATCCTCCCCTCAATACGGTGCAGTCGTCCTGTCCCCTTTGCAGAAAAGCATCCCCAAAGAATGATGTTTCCACCTCCATGCTTCATGGTTGGGATGGTGTTCTTGGGGTTGTACTCATCCTTCTTCTTCCTCCAAACACGGCGAGTGGAGTTTAGACCAAAAAGCTCTATTTTTGTCTCATCAGACCACATGACCTTCTCCCATTCCTCCTCTGGATCATCCAGATGGTCATTGGCAAACTTCAGACGGGCCTGGACATGCGCTGGCTTGAGCAGGGGGACCTTGCGTGCGCTGCAGGATTTTAATCCATTATTTATTTATTTATTTATTTATTTATGTCATTTAGCAGACGCTCTTATCCAGAGCGACTTACAGGAGCAATTAGGGTTAAGTGCCTTGCTCAAGGGCACATCGACAGATTTTTCACCTAGTCGGCTCGGGGATTAGAACCAGCGACCTTTCGGTTACTGGCACAACGCTCTTACCCACTAAGCTACCTGCCGCCCCATGACGGTGTAGTGTGTTACTAATGGTTTTCTTTGAGACTGTGGTCCCAGCTCTCTTCAGGTCATTGACCAGGTCCTGCCGTGTAGTTCTGGGCTGATCCCTCACCTTCCTCATGATCATTGATGCCCCACGAGGTGAGATCTTGCATGGAGCCCCAGACCGAGGGTGATTGACCGTCATCTTGAACTTCTTCCATTTTCTAATAATTGCGCCAACAGTTGTTGCCTTCTCACCAAGCTGCTTGCCTATTGTCCTGTAGCCCATCCCAGCCTTGTGCAGGTCTACAATTTTATCCCTGATGTCCTTACAAAGCTCTCTGGTCTTGGCCATTGTGGAGAGGTTGGAGTCTGTTTGATTGAGTGTGTGGACAGGTGTCTTTTATACAGGTAACGAGTTCAAACAGGTGCAGTTAATACAGGACATGAGTGGAGAACAGGAAGGCTTCTTAAAGAAAAACTAACAGGTCTGTGAGAGCCGGAATTCTTACTGGTTGGTAGGTGATCAAATACTTATGTCATGCAATAAAATGCAAATTAATAACTTAAAAAATCATACAATGTGATTTTCTGGATTTTTGTTTTAGATTCCGTCTCTCACAGTTGAAGTGTACCTATGATAAAAATTACAGACCTCTACATGCTTTGTAAGTAGGAAACCTGCAAAATCGGCAGTGTATCAAATACTTGTTCTCCCCACTGTATATATATTGTTTTACTGGCCTAAACATTTTTTTCAAACTTATGGCCAATTCACGATATATCTGTTTTTTTTCTCTCTAAATAAGCGTTGTACAATTTAAAGGTCAAATGCACTGCATTTCAAACAGTCAGCAATAATCGAATGGATTCAGGGCTTGTGAAGTTATACCTAGGCTAAATATAAGCTATCCACAACCATAAGACCCACTAATAATTTAATTATTTTATCAAAATAGTTTAACCTGCTTTTCTGTTGTTGTTGCAATAATCACTGATCTGGCTTTCAAGTCTGTATGAAAATGTAACTAGAACCATGCGTAATGCACATTCACTAATGATGACTTAACTTCTTGTAGCAGGCATTAGGCTATAGAAAGTGAACACCGGTCTCATCAATAATCTCTCAAGCCCACGTGCTAGTGATTAGCCAGCTAATCTTTATATTTAAAGTTTAGCCAACTTGGATCTATTTAAGTGATAACATTTTACATTACATTTTAGTCATTTAGCAGACACTCTTATCCAGAGCGACTTACAGTTAGTGAGTGCATTCATTTTCATACAACCCTGGCGTTGCAAGCGCAATGCTCTACCAACTGAGCTAGCTGAGAAGCTGGTGTTTGGAGGAGATATTGGCACGGGTGTTATTAGCAAACTGTGCCAATATAGCCAGCAAACTGTGCCAATATATCCTCCAAACACCGGCTTTGAGGGCATTATCACTTTTATACAACGGGCTACCAACATATTCAAATAATGATTGACCTATTTTCATTAATGTTATTTTTATGAATTTATTCATACTGTTTCATCCTTCCACAAGATATGATCCCGACAAATCTAGGGTTGCTACCCAAGCCGGTTGATTGTTCGTTCTATCGGTTCGGTTGCCAGAGACGCGACCCAGTCGTTCAGTCTTTTTGTTCTGTATCTATGGACGCAACCCAGTCGTTCGTTCTAAATTTCCCATTGCCATACAGGCTGGCAACGTTCTTATCCCTTGCTTACTAGCTAGCCGACTACGGCTAATTTACAGTCACGTCCAACAGTGCAGCCGGAATAACAACATTAGCTGCATTTGCATATGATTAAGCTGTTTTCTAGTGACATTTATTTGGATACATCCATAACAATGAGCTAATGAGGCGCAATTTCGCCTGGCATAGAAAATGTGCTCTCTCGTCAGGACACTGTTGTTCAGAGGAGCTAGCCAACAACACAGCTAACACAATCACTTCAAACTTGCTGCACTTCGTTTTGTTTGACCTTTTTTTAATTGACATTTCTTTGTATATATCCATAAAAATTATGCCAGGTGATTCATGATTTCGACAGGCTGAGAAACGCTTCCTGTCTGTCTTGTCCCGACTCCCGACACGTTCATTACTATTGGACAGCTGTAGATCGAATTTGAATATTGAAACAATGTAGCAAATGTCGGAGAGACAGACTGCAAGGTTTATACAAATCTCCGCTATTGAAAACTAAATGTTAGTCTAAAAGAAATGTGAGATAATGTCTAGATGCTTTTTATAGTGGAGATCAAGTTTATAAATTGCCTGGCTGGGCTGATGACAGTGGATTGCGTAGTCCGATGGAACAGAGTAAATAGGCATTTTTACGTCATAGATTTAGCCAGTGGTAACTTGTGGAATAGACACCGGCTTTAATGCGGTTTTAACCAATCCACATTCAGGATTAGAACCACCTGTTGTATAATTGCTAGTTAACAAGGTTGAACACACCCTTCTGTCTGTCTCCAACTGTTTGAAAAGCATGTTAGTTCAGATGATGAAATCAAGTCGCCTACCTTATTTCTCAGAATGAGAACTAGTTGCCAATTCCTTATATAATTGTGTTTTATGCTTATTGCCTAATTTATAAAACAGACTAGACAGCTAGTATAACAGTCTTTGGCTAAAATGCTGCTAGCGGTATGTGGTACCCCAATGCCGCGCCTGACTAACTGAGCATTCATTTTCCAGAATCAATGTTAATTGATACTCTCGTTTTAGTAGTGTCTGCTCTGCACGCAATTTGAGTAGTTGAGACATAAAAAGGGTATTGTTAGAAAAGTTAATGTGCCCAATAGGAGACCTTTACATCACTTTTAATGGGCTCACCTGGCCATTCCTTCCTGTTATTGACACCTCTTCTCTGCCTTGTGATTTCAGATACACTGGCCACTATTTCATCACCACTCTGCTGTACTCCTTCTTCCTGGGGTGCTTTGGAGTGGACCGGTTCTGCCTGGGGCACACAGGCACAGCCGTGGGCAAGCTGCTGACCCTAGGAGGCCTGGGCATCTGGTGGTTCGTGGACCTCATCCTCATCATCACCGGAGGCCTGATGCCTAGTGACAACAGCAACTGGTGCACCTTTTACTGAGACCAGCGAGCATGGATTGAATACCTTTTTAAGGTGGGTTTACATTGCAGAGATGCGGACAGAATATACAGTGAGGGAAAAAAGTATTTGATCCCCTGCTGATTTTGTAAGTTTGCCCACTGACAAAGAAATGATCAGTCTATAATTTTAATGGTAGGTTTATTTGAACAGTGAGAGATAGAATAACAACAAAAATATCCAGAAAAACGCATGTCAAAAATGTTATAAATTGATTTGCATTTTAATGAGGGAAATAAGTATTTGACCCCTCTGCAAAACATGACTTAGTACTTGCTGGAAAAACCCTTGTTGGCAATCATAGAGGTCAGACGTTTCTTGTCTCAAGAGGGATTTTGTCCCAATCCTCTTTGCAGATCTTCTCCAAGTCATTAAGGTTTCGAGGCTGACGTTTGGAAACTCAAACCTTCAGCTCCCTCCACAGATTTTCTATGGGATTAAGGTCTGGAGACTGGCTAGGCCACTCCAGGACCATAATGTGCTTCTTCTTGAGCCACTCCTTTGTTGCCTTGGCCGTGTGTTTTGGGTCATTGTCATGCTGGAATACCCATCCACGACCCATTTTCAATGCCCTGGCTGAGGGAAGGAGGTTCTCACCCAAGATTTGACGGTACATGGCCCCGTCCATCGTCCCTTTGATGCGGTGAAGTTGTCCTGTCCCCTTAGCAGAAAAACATCCCCAAAGCATAATGTTTCCGCCTCCATGTTTGACGGTGGGGATGGTGTTCTTGGGGTCATAGGAAGCATTCCTCCTCATCCAAACACAGCGAGTTGAGTTGATGCCAAAGAGCTCAATTTTGGTCTCATCTGACCACAACACTTTCACTCAGTTCTCCTCTGAATCATTCAGATGTTCATTGGCAAACTTCAGACAGGCATGTATATGTGCTTTCTTGAGCAGGGGGACCTTGCGGGCGCTGCAGGATTTCAGTCCTTCACGGCGTAGTGTGTTACCAATTGTTTTCTTGGTGACTATGGTCCCAGCTGCCTTGAGATCATTGACAGGATCCTCCCGTATAGTTCTGGGCTGATTCCTCACCATTCTCATGATCATTGCAACTCCACGAGGTGAGATCTTGCATGGAGCCCCAGGCCGAGGGAGATTGACAGGTCTTTTGTGTTTCTTCCATTTGCGAATAATCACACCAAATGTTGTCACCTTCTCACCAAGCTGCTTGGCGATGGTCTTGTAGCCCATTCCAGCCTTGTGTAGGTCTACAATCTTGTCCCTGACATCCTTGGAGAGCTCTTTGGTCTTGGCCATGGTGGAGAGTTTGGAATCTGATTGATTGATTGCTTCTGTGGACAGGTGTCTTTTATACAGGTAACAAGCTGAGATTAGGAGCACTCCCTATAAGAGTGTGCTCCTAATCTCAGCTCGTTACCTGTATAAAAGACACCTGGGAGCCAGAAATCTTTCTGATTGAGAGGGGGTCAAATACTTATTTCCCTCATTAAAATGCAAATCAATTTATAACATTTTTGACATGCGTTTTTCTGGATTTTGTTGTTGTTATTCTGTCGATCACTGTTCAAATAAACCTACAATTAAAATTATAGACTGATCATGTCTTTGTCAGTGGGCAAACGTACAAAATCAGCAGGGGATCAAATACTTTTTTCCCTCACTGTATATCTCTTATTTGTGAATTACAGTTAAGAGCAGTTTGACCACGTGTCGGATGCCTTTCTATCTGATTCTCCTAGAGAATCTTGTCACCTGACATGCTATCACTTTGTTTGCCATACACAAAAATGTATGCACGCATGACTGTAAGTCGCTTTGGATAAAAGCGTCTGCTAAATGGCATATTATTATTATTATTATTATTATTATTATTTGCGCACGCCACAGATGACCATTAATCGCACCGTTATAAACAGCGTGTCAGCTGTTAACGCAATTCCCACAGTCTTTTGTCTGTCACCATGGGAAAACAAGGAGTATGAGGAAAAGATGTGTGGACCAGGGGCATGGTTGAGTGGTTGGCATGTTCGATATCTTTTGCCTTCAGTAGGCTGCTATATGTTTCTCTGCTTTGTTTTGAAAGACTTGGGTCTAAACGTTAGACCACTGAACTGTTGAAGCAAAGGAAATGGTTTGCTATGTTGTTTATATGAAAGCTTAAATCTATACGTTTCGTTATGCGATTGTATGCGTGCACAAACTACACAACATCTGAGATGTTACAATGTCCGAGGGGAATTTTACAATGCATTTACTTGAAGAACAGTGCAGATGCAAAGTTTGGTAACAGAATGACTGCACAAACAGCACACACAGTCATTCTGTTACCAGACTTTTATGTACTCTCAATAATTCAATGATTGTTTTATATTCCTTTGTTATGCATTGAAATGTTTGGCTTTATTTATACTGAACAAAAATATAAACACAATGTGCAACAAAAGACTATTGAGTTACAGTTCCTATCAGGAAATCAGTCAATTGAAATAAATTCATTAGGCCCTAATGTATGGATTTCATATGACTGGGCAAGGGTGCAGCCATGGGTGGGCCTTAGAGGACATGGGCCCACCCACTTGGCAGCAAGGCCCACCCACTGGGGAGACAGGCCCAGCCAATCAGATTGAGTTTTTCCCCACAAAAGGGCTTTATTACGGACAGAAATACTCCTCAGCACCCCCACCCGCCTCAGACGATCCCGCAGGTGAAGAAGCCGGATGTGGAGTTCCTGGGCTGGTGTGGTTACGTGTGATCTGCTGTTGTGAGGCCTGTTGGACGTACTGACAAATTCTCTAAAACGACGTTGGAGGCAGCTTATGGTAGAGAAATTAACATTACATTCTCTGGCAACATCTCTGGTGGACATTCCTGCAGTCAGCATGTTAATTGCACCCTCCCTCAAAACTTGAGACATCTGTGGCATTATGTTGTGTGACAAAACTGCATATTTTAGTGGCCTTTTGTTGTCCCCAGCACAAGGTGCACCTGTGTAATGATCATGCTGTTTAATCAGCTTCTTGATATGCTACACCTGTCAGGTGGATGGATTATCTTGGCAAAGGAGAAATGCTCACTAACAGGGATGTAAACAAATTTGTGCACAACATTTGAGAGCTTTTTGTAATAATGAAAACTTTCTGGGATTTTTTATTTCAGCTCATGAAACATGGGACCAACTCTTTACATGTTGTGTTTATATTTTTGTTCAGTGTTTTTGCCCTACCCTATTGTCTTTTAAGTTATAGGCTACCTGAGTAAAATGACTGCCTTCTGTAAATATGGACTGAAAGCCGAAATTGATACATTTTATGGAATGTGTCTTCCAAAATGTGAAATTTGGGGGAAAAGGTTGGCAAAAATGCATCTTCCTAGGTGTAATGTGAGAGAATGCAGACTGTCTCACTATGTGTTTGCCATCCCTGCACTTCAAGTGTTTGTGGTTCAATAAAATGTTTATTGTACTGGTTGGTTAAGTATTTCTATTTGAATCCTGTTCTGAATCTATGATTTGTTCAAAATGAACCTTCAGGTTTTGATATGCAAAGTGGAAACAAGGTATGAAATGGGTCCTTTGTTCTGTGCATGTGTCCACCCATGCACATTTTGATTAATTGTGTTTCTGTACACCTGATGACTTAGTCTTGTTCAAAGCACAGATACTCTTACCACGTACAAGTAACTGCCAAAATAAAGGAAACACCAACATAGTGTCTTTAATAGGGCATTGAGCCAGAACAGCTTCAATGCACCTTGACATAGATTCTACAAGTCGAACTCTATCGGAGGGATGCGACATCATTCTTCCGTGAGTAATTCAATATTTTGGTGTTTTGTTGATGGAAAACGCTGTCTCAGGCGCCGCTCCAGAATCTCCCATAAGTGTTCAATCGAGTTGAGATCTGGTGACTGAGACGGCCATGGCATATGGTTTACATCGTTTTCATGCTCATCAAACCATTCAGTGACAACTCGTGCCCTGTAGATGGGGCCATTGCCATCCTATGGGGGCATAGCAATGGTAGCCAAAATAATGGTCTGCCCAGCATTTTTATACATGACCCTAAGCATGATGGGATGTTAATTGCTTAATTAACTTTGGAACCACACCTGTGTGGAAGCACATGCTTTCAATATATTTGTATTCCTCATTTACTCAAGTATTTCCATTATTTTGGCAGTTACCTGTACTCCAGCACTTAGAGGAAAGGAAAACAGGTTTTAGAGCCAAGTACTATAAAGATTTTATTACAAGTGTCCACAAATATCATATTCACCACTTCCAGAGGTAACACTTATTGTACATATCATGACTAAAAAAACTATTAAACCATGCCACTAGAGCTGAATGTCTCCTAAGTACATTGGATTCAATAGTTCTGGCAGAGAAATAGGTGCAGCACAGTTCATAAGGGACTCCCATCACCAGAATGTTGCATATTGTAACTACGTATATTGTTATGGGAGTACATCAGCTCTAACACGTGCACGTATGGCATGAACCACATTTACTTGAATTCACTTGCGACATACAGGCACCATAAACAACTGATGTACAATGCATTTGGCACAACTGTTGTGATACAAGAGTTTTTATATACAAAAATAACACAATCGTCGTGGAAACATCGCACAATGATTGTAAACATTTTTGTGCAGACAAACTGTTGTATCACAAAAAATCTGTTGTATCGCCATCATTGTATCACAACCATTGTGTCAAAACCTCCGTGTGTACGGGACACAATGAGTGGAGAGACAGGCAGGCAACTCAGTCGATTTCCTCAGGGACAACCTTTATCATGATGTCTTCGTTAGCTCGCCGCACTACCACGGACAGCGGACTGCCTGACTGGACAGCATCACTCACCTCATCTGTGGTCTGGATGGGTTGCCCGTTGATGCTGATTATAACATCATGGTTAATCATGCCAGCACTGCATGGGGAACATGCATTGGACAACAATTAACACACTACACACACCTAGCCTGGGCCCAGATCTGTTTGTGCTCTTGCCAACTCCATTGATTGCCATCATTGTCAAGCCAATGTTTGGCGTGACAAGGAGTTGGCATGATGGCACAGACAGACTGGCACTCAGGATAACACACCCTCGCTATTATACGAAACTCAACCTTTCTCTGACTTCTCATCTCATGCCCTAAAGGAACAAGCATTGACCTTTAGACTAAGTTGCAGATTCTGTGTCTTGATCCGAGAGAGATGCCGGCGGCTTCAAATCCAACAGATAATAGGCCAATCAGTACCATTCACTCGTTTTTTATTGTTAGCCAGGCTGGCTTATTATTGGACCGTTGGAACATCTATTAGCCATTTTGATTAGCATTCAGATTCAGAAGCTTTTGTTTGAGAGGGCTGCTGCATGCATGTTTGTGTTCCATAGCTGTGGGGGCTACTTCCTGCTATTACCCATAAGTACAACATAGCACACAGAGCTATTGAGACAGATGTGAGCTCCTGACTTTTCTAGCTTTTTCTGCATGGGGTAAGAGGGGATGCGCCCTCCTATGGGATCTGGTCAAAAGTAGTGCACTATAAAGGGAATTGGGTGCCATTTGGGGCGTAGCCAGGAAGAGGAAGTAATCAGAAACCTGCCTGTGGGTGGCTGCTAGCTGGAGTGTAGTAGAGATCTGGACCAGAGTCTAGTCTAATAGCCGTGATAACCACAGGGATGTCATTCCATTCCTTTGAAAATATCCTGGTGCCTCCAAACCCCTTTTTGCACAGCACTGTCTGCTCATCCATTTGACCAAGACCCAATGGAAAAACAACAGACAAGTATCCTACTGCTCAGCACAAATCATAGACTTGTTTCAAGTTGTGTCCTGGATGCTTATTATATCCCATTGAAACTGCTTTGTTAATATGAATTTAATAACGTTCCTCAAAAAGCGCAATGTAACAGGTAATTGTCAGATTTAGGTCTGTAGACCACTCAAATACACCAAACTATCATCTGTGAATAACATAGTAATGGCGGTATTGTCCCTTTATCAGGCCTTCTGTGGGAATGGGTGTTCCCACCAATGCCAATAATGAGAAGAAGTCTAAACTTGACTCTGTGTCCTAAAATAGCCGCCTGTCCCTTACCAGCCGGGCATCGGCACACATTTCAGCAAATAAACGCTTGTTTCAAATAAAAGCTGGGTCAAAACGAATTGTTTAGGAGTGAACTTCAGTGAGTACCATCAAGAAGATAAAGGAGAGCAACATCATTGCCATGGATGAGACAGCAGTGGGGTTTGACATGGTCAGCTCAACTACGGGGGATACACGGCGCAACGAGGTGTGAGTGAGAGACTGGTGCTAAAGCGCAAAATCAGGGGTGTATGATAGGCAGCCTAGCCTTTGCAAGTCTGATCTGTAATTTATTTGTTATTCTAATGTGTATACTGGTCACAATAAGCAGTGTAGTAGTCTTTTCAACATTTTATTGAACAAAAGCTGTGTGCATTAAGGAAATAGATGCCTGTCTAATAAGAGCCGGTTGTGTTCAGTGATTGAAGCAAATAAACGTCTGGGCTATTCATTTAAGTTTTACAGTAGTGCACTACTTTTGACCAGGGCCGATAGGTCTCCAGTCAAAAGTAGTGCACTTTAAGAATAGGGTGCCATTTGGGATGCACACTCAGTCTTACCTGGAGGCAGCTGTTCCTGGGATCACTTCATAAACGTACACTCCTGAGCTCACATCTGGGAAGTCGCTCTCCCGATCCCTCAGATCTCGGATCAAACTGGGAGGAGGACACAGAGGATATTACATCAACACAGTATGGTAAGACTTAGAAATGGTCACGTAAGTTTTAGCCAGCAAAATTCTGAGAAAGGCAACAATTTGACCGTACACTTAATATAGATTGTGGTTTAATTGGGATCAGCATTTATGGAGCATAGTAAACATGCCAGTAATAATGACAAGGGTTGCATCCCCAATGTCACCCTATTCCCTGGTCAAAAGTAGTGTACTGTTTTGGGAATAGGGTGTGATTTGGGACTTACCATGGAAAAGTGATACCTTCTGACCACAAGCAGATGTTTACTCACTGAGTTGAAAGTTGAAGCATCCGGACACCCATGTATTTCTTTTTTGGCAGTGTCTTTCCTGATAGCAATATAGTAAAATAAGAACAATTATAGAATACCAAATTATTGTATAGAACTGTGCCAAATCATCAGCAATCTGAACCAGTAAATGTAAATTAGGTGGTATATTAGTGAAATCGGTAGTGAAGAATTAATCATACAAACCTTTGATTTGTCTGTCGTAGGAATCCGCAAGGAATTGGCGTATTCTGTCAGCAGGAATTGCAAAGGATATTCCTGCTGTGACCTTCAGAGTATTTATGCCAATGACATCCCCATCCTTGAAACAAGTCCAAATTGAACATAAACCATTTTGAATATAAACAGAAATATGCATCTGATATACATGCATGGAATATGTACTTTCATGAATGAAAGTTCCTTTAAACATGTCAGTCAACATTTGTAATGTTATATTCTGTTCATCCTGTTGTTCCAATAATTTTCTGCTGTTCTGTTGTTTCCATGTGTGATGCTAAGCATGGTAATTCTCACTGAGTGAAGGAACAGAATGTACGTGTATCCTTTGGTTTATTTGAAAGGAAAGCAGTCTTTTTACAACATACAGTGAGGAGAACATTTTGCAGGTTTTCCTACTTACAAAGCATGTAGAGGTCTGTAATTTTTATCATAGGTACACTTAAACTGTGAGAGACTCTAAAACAAAAATCCAGAAAATCACATTGTATGATTTTTAAGTAATTAATTTGCATTTTATTGCATGACATAAGCATTTGATACATCAGAAAAGCAGAACTTAATATTTGGTACAGAAACCTTTGTTTGCAATTACAGAGATCATACGTTTCCTGTAGGTCTTGACCAGGTTTGCACACACTGCAGCAGGGATTTTGGCCCACTCCTCCATACAGACCTTCTCCAGATCCTTCAGGTTTCGGGGCTGTCGCTGGGCAATACGGACTTTCAGCTCCCTCCAAAGATTTTCTATTGGGTTCAGGTCTGGAGACTGGCTAGGCCACTCCAGGACCTTGAGATGCTTCTTACGGAGCCACTCCTTAGTTGCCCTGGCTGTGTGTTTCGGGTCGTTGTCATGCTGGAAGACCCAGCCACAACCCATCTTCAATGCTCTTACTGAGGGAAGGAGGTTGTTGGCCAAGATCTCACGATACATGGCCCCATCCATCCTCCCCTCAATACGGTGCAGTCGTCCTGTCCCCTTTGCAGAAAAGCATCCCCAAAGAATGATGTTTCCACCTCCATGCTTCACGGTTGGGATGGTGTTCTTGGGGTTGTACTCATCCTTCTTCTTCCTCCAAACACGGCGAGTGGAGTTTAGACCAGAAAAGCTTTGTCTCATCGACCACATGACTTTCTCCCATTCCTCGTCTCTGGATCATCCAGATGGTCATTGGCAAACTTCAGATGGGCCTGGACATGCGCTGGCTTGAGCAGGGGGACCTTGCATGCGCTGCAGGATTTTAATCCATGATGGCGTAGTGTGTTACTACTGGTTTTCTTTGAGACTGTGGTCCCAGCTGTCTTCAGGTCATTGACCAGGTCCTGCCGTGTAGTTCTGGGCTGATCCCTCACCTTCCTCATGATCATTGATGCCCCACGAGATGAGATCTTGCATGGAGCCCCAGACCGAGGGTGATTGACCGTCATCTTGAACTTCTTCCATTTTCTAATAATTGCGCCAACAGCAGTTGTTGCCTTCTCACCAAGCTGCTTGCCTATTGTCCTGTAGCCCATCCCAGCCTTGTGCAGGTCTACAATTTTATCCCTGATGTCCTTACACAGCTCTCTGGTCTTGGCCATTGTGGAGAGGTTGTAGTCTGTTTGATTGAGTGTGTGGACAGGTGTCTTTTATACAGGTAACGAGTTCAAACAGGTGCAGTTAATACAGGACATGAGTGGAGAACAGGAAGGCTTCTTAAAGAAAAACTAACAGGTCTGTGAGAGCCGGAATTCTTACTGGTTGGTAGGTGATCAAATACTTATGTCATGCAATAAAATGCAAATTAATTATTTAAAAATCATACAATGTGATTTTCTGGATTTTTGTTTTAGATTCCGTCTCTCACAGTTGAAGTGTACCTATGATAAAAATTACAGACCTCTACATGCTTTCTAAGTAGGAAAACCTGCATAATCGGCAGTGTATCAAATACTTGTTCTCCCCCACTGTAGCTTGAGGCCACTGCCTTGCTATATCCTATGTAATTGTGTATGTGTGCACAATTATGTTTTATATAAATGCAATGTTGTGCATAAGACTTAGATGGAAAAAAATATATAGCGGGTGAAGAAAGGCCTTAAGCTTTGTCAAGGGCGACTGTAGGATAATCTTTCTGCTTTGAGATCAATAGGCAGACACACTACCAGTCAAAAGTTTTAGAACACCTACTCATTCAAGGGTTTTTCTTTATCTTTACAGTTTTTTTACATTGTAGAATAATAGTGAAGACATCAAAACTATGAAATAACACAAATGGAATCATGTAGTAACCAAAAAAGTGTTAAACAAATCAAAATATATGTTATATTTGAGATTCTTCAAATAGCCACCCTTTGCCTTGATGACAGCTTTGTACACTCTTGGCATTCTCTCAACCAGCTTCATGAGGTAGTCATCTGGAATGCATTTCAATTAACAGGTGTGCCTTGTTAAAAGTTAATTTGTGGAATTTCTTTCCTTCTTAATGCGTTTGAGCCAATCAGTTGTGTTGTGACAAGGTAGGGGAGGTATACAGAAGATAGCCCTATTTGGTAAAAGACCAAGTCCATATTATGGCAAGAACAGCTCAAATAAGCAAAGAGAAACGACAGTCCATTATTACTTTAAGACATGAAGGTCAGTCAATACGGAACATTTCAAGATCTTTGAAAGTTTCTTCAAGTGCAGTCGCAAAAACCATCAAGCGCTATGATGAAACTGGCTCTCATGAGGACCGCCACAGGAATGGAAGACCCAGAGTTACCTCTGCTGCAGAGGATAAGTTAATTAGAGTTACCAGCCTCAGAAATTGCAGCCCCTTTTAAATGCTTCACAGAGTTCAAGTAACAGACGCATCTCAACATCAACTGTTCAGAGGAGACTGTGTGAATCAGGCCTTCATGGTCGAATTGCTGCAAGGAAACCACTACTAAAGGACACCAATACGAAGAAGAGACTTGCTTGGGCCAAGAATCACGAGCAATGGACATTAGACCAGTGGAAATGTGTCCTTTGGTCTGGAGTCCAAATTGGAGATTTTTGGTTCCAACCGCCGTGTCTTTGTGAGACACGATGTGGGTGAACGGATGATCTCCGCATGTGTATTTCCCACTGTGAAGCATGGAGGAGGTGGTGTTATGGTGTGGGGGTGCTTTGCTGGTGACACTGTCTGTGATTTATTTAGAATTCAAGGCACACTTAACCAGCATGGCTACCACAGCATTCTGCAGCGATACGCCCTCCCATCTGGTTTGGGCTTAGTGGGACTATCATTTGTTTTTCAACAGGACAATGACCCAACACACCTCCAGGCTGTGTAAGGGCTATTTTACCAAGGAGGAGAGTGATGGAGTGCTGCATCAGATGACCTGGCCTCCACAATCCCAGGACCTCAATGAAATTGAGATGGTTTGGGATGAGTCGGACCGCAGAGTGAAGGAAAAGCAGCCAACAAGTGCTCAGCATATGTGGGACCTCCTTCAAGACTGTTGGAAAAGCATTCCAGGTGAAGCTGGTTGAGAGAATGCCAAGAGTGTGCAAAGCTGTCATCAAGGCAAAGGGTGGCTATTTGAAGAATCTAAAATATCAAATGGATTTTGCTTTGATGTCTTCACTATTATTCTACAATGTAGAAAATAGTAAAAATTAAGAAAAACCATTGAATGAGTAGGTGTAGTAAAACTTTTGACCGGTAGTGTACGTCATCACTATTACAGGAGTCTGTAGATAAAGAATGTTTCCCGTGGCGGATTTTAAAACAACAGATGTCACAGTAAAACACAGAATGTGGACCTTGAGCAGTATGCCTTATATAGAAAACAGAATTATGACCTTGCAAATCTCTTTCCTAAATGAAAAAAGAAAGATACACAGCCTGCCTGCATTTCAAATGTGCTGATTACATATTACAATCCTCTCAAATACAATATCTAGTAAATCCCCTTACCAAGTTAACAAGTGGTCCCCCTGAGTTGCCATACTGTAAAAGAACAGAGCAATAAACAAAATGTATTGACAAATGTATTGCAGTGCAATGTTTAATCCAAAACAGAGACGAGAAGCTGGAGACATACAGTATGTAATGATATGTAAAGAGATGCACATGCAGTAAAACAATTCTCCAAATACTGCTGCTTGACAGCCATGTTTCACGTTTGCATCCTAAATGGCACCCTATTCCCTATATAGTGCACTACTTTTGACCATGCAGGGCCTATAGGGCTCTGGTCAAAAGTACTGCACTAAACAGGGAATAGGGTGCCATTTGAGTCACAGACAATTACTCACGTTGATGATGGCATCCGTCTGGATGTACTCCATGTCAGAGTCTTTGAGTCCCAGCTCCAGGCCGTTCCTATGGGCCGTGCTGATGATGCCTGTAGTGACAGTGTTCTGCAGGGGGGAAGAAAATTCAAACAAAGCTTCAATTACAACTTATATCCAAGTGAGTGCTGGCCTTTTTCATGTTTGTTGTGATCTATTTGTGGTTCCAATAATCATTTAATTTGTTTACGCAAGAGGATAACAGTTGAGCATGTTCTCTCCCTTTACCTGCAGGGAGAAGGGACTGCCCACGGCCACCACAAACTCCCCCGGCCGCAGGTCAGACGAGTGGCCCAGCAGAAGCACCGGCAGTGGACTCTACAGAACAAAACAAACATAGAGATCATATAAATCACAAATCCACTGTTTCATGTTGCTAGGATATCAATGTTCATTCTAGTGTTCTATTTAATTATGTGAAGATAGTGAGTTAGCATAGCTACTGCTTTCCTGAGACCTGAAGTACTGTTCCAGAACCCAGAAATGTTTAGGCTTTTCTTTAAGCCGTGTCCGAGCCAGAACAGCCAGCCTATCTCCTGTTTCTGAAGCTTGAGGCAGTTTGATGTAAAGTACACCCCCTATCAACAGAAGACCCTATAGCACTGAAAGATCAGTAAAGCCAACAAGGCACTCTCACTTTAACCTTCACACCCAGCCTAAGCGTGTATCCACCTGACTTTTCTTGCCGTTGGTTGAAGTATTTTTATTGCTGGAATCTGACGCTTACAGTTTATTTCCATTGCTAGCACCTCTAGGGTGTAAAGCCCTGTTCCATCACAGCTTCACTTTGCAGGCAACTTTTGGGGTCTGTTGCAGCCTATGACCGCTTACTGTATACCATCACAAACTCATTCTATTCCCTTTCTACTGCGTTTGTAGTCTACACGGAAGTTTCTAGTCTTCTATAGTATAGTGTGTAGTGATGAGCTGAGTCAAAATGATCAGTTGTATTGCCTGCATGGTTTGGCCCTGGCCTGGATTGGGTTTTAGTGGACTGTGTTTTGGCCAGGGATCCCATAATGCCACACAAAGGAGCTGTTTACCCAAGCGCCTGTCGTTGCGGTGACAAATGTTTTAGTAACAGCACCACTTGCGAATACTGAAGAAAAAAGGGCTGAAGCTGTGAATTTGTAAGACCAGAACCAATGATTGCAGTTCTATAGGAAAACTTGACGACAAATTGACATGTCAAGGAGTGGAATCTAATTTTGTTCAGGCGAAAGACCCTCAGTCGCCTTTTTGATGTTAGTCACTGATGACAATCCAGCAGGCCAGTGGAAAACACCAAGCAACATTTTGTGTGAGGACCTGTGGAATGAGAGAGGGCCCTTGGAACAGCCTCATTTTAGGGAGAAGGAAAAGGAAGTGGACTCACATCCGACTCAATTTTGATGAGTGCAATGTCTAGCTTCGTGTCCACATCCTTGACGGAGGCATCGTATTGGACACCGTTCTTCATCTCCACTTTGACTCTCTGCTTGTTGGAGAGAACGTGGGCGTTGGTGACGATCCAGCCGTCCTCTGACACGATGAACCCCGAACCACTAGAGACGGGGACTTCCTGGTTCGAAAATGGCAACCTGAGTGAAAAGACACACCAACCAATCAGGTTGCTTTCATCATCATACCAAAATATAAGGGAATCAGTTCCAATGAAGGGTTTGCCAAAAACACCCAGTCAACAAAACAACAACTGTGTTAGAGGCCTACTTCAATATGTTGCTGCAAAACGCATTGTGTAGTATATTACAGACAGGAAGAGTAAAGGGCTCCAATACTGTACTTGCTGCTTCTACCTCTTGAAAAGCTCTAGGTGCACCACAGCTGGGGCTATCTTATCCACCACATCGGCAATGAAGTTGAATTTGTAGCGGATACTTCCTGGGTTCAGGGAACCTGAGGGGACAAAATACAGAAAGACAGAAATGAAGGTTTATTCATGTGAAACAGAGTTTATGCATATATTGGAGGTAGAAATTGCATATATTTCATATGTTGTTCATGAGCTGTAAACATTTTCATATATATTGGGATACTAGTATATGGATTTTTTTTTAAATAGAAAAAGCATAGAATCTGTCAGACTTTTTCCAGTTAAAAAGTAGTGGCAGGACAAAGTGGTAGGATTAAGCCCTCTCTGAGCCTGACATGGGTATGCAAATTCTGAGCTTTGGGTTTGGTGCATGGTCTCATTTTGAACCCAATGACACAAACATGTATGATACAGGGAAGCACTTAAGGCAAGTAGTAGCATATCTTTGCATTTTTTAAAATGTTTTCATTACAGTTGGAACTTAGATCAGTAGAGGGCTGCATTCCCGCGGGATGCCCACAGGACCTGCGGGTCCCAACAGAGATCATTGCAGCGCAGTCTGCATTTTTCATGCTGCGGTTGGGAGCGGTCGATCAGACAGACAACTTTGGGATGAAAATATTTTTGTTGTCCCGCAGATTATTTGGAAACGTTCGTCTTTCTTCTTTGTATGCATTAGCCTAACTATTGTATTAAAAGAAAGTGGAGGGTGCTCAACCAATGTGTGTCGAGGTGCTATCAAAAAATGTGATCATCATTGAAAAGGAAAAGGCTTTTTCATTTTCTTCCTAAAAAGGTAGGATATATCTTATATGCAAAACTTGCCGACATAATTTTTTCTCCCTGCTGCTGACGGCTATTTTTGTATTTGTATTATAGTTTTTTTAAAAATGATTTTTCACGGGGTGCTGCAGAACCCCTACTTTCCGCAGCGATGCTAGAGACCCCTTGAGCCTTTGGCCCCTTATTCTGCTACCTGTTTGCTTGGATAGATTGTCAGGTTGGTTTTCAGGGTCCAAACTGATATCAGCAAGCTTGTGCCAGCTGAGCTCATGGCCTTGTTTGCCCACAAGGCAAGTCAAGATCTGAATGCAGCGAACACCTAGACTGTAAGCCCACCTGATTGGCTGGCAGCAGGTGGAGCTACCTTAATAAGCCACCTAGCCCTTCCTCTTCTACTTAAGGGTTATTTATGACTCTCTGTTACTGGAAATTTTGCCCCCCAAAGCTATTCTCCTGCAGTATCTCCTCTTCCCATTATAGGGCATTTGTTCTCACATGTAGGCTACGGCAAGTTGCTTTCACACGCACATTATCACATGTACTTTTCCTAAAGCTCCTGTGCACTACACGTTTTCCTTAATGCATTCAGACACACGGTTTTGAGATTGATATTTGCATAGCGGTACAATGAACTAATCTCTGCGGAAACATCCTTAAATGCAAATTTGAGCATGGCAAACAATGGTACTCCTTTTGCCAAGACATATCCTTGGCAGCACACCAAATATTTTTGCCTGCGACAGGGCTTCTTCATCCCCCCAAAACAACTTCTTATAAGCTACAAGTGCACACTCTTTAAACTCTATGTCATTTTACTACCAGATCAACACTTTCTTCATAAGATGATTATCAGAACTTGGTGCATTCCCCTGGTGCTGTCAGAAACATGGGCCCGTTGGGAGTCTGAGGTTGTGCCCAAAATAGTACCCTATTCTCTATACAGTGAGTATACCAAACATTAGGAACACCTTACTAATATTGAGTTACATCCCCCCTAATATTGAGTTACATCCCCCCTTTTGCCCTCAGAACAGCCTCAATTCGTCGGGGCATGGACTACAAGGTATCAAAAGCGTTCCACAGGGATGCTGGCCCATGTTGACTCCAATGCTTCCCACATTTGTGTCAAGTTGGCTGGATGTCCTTTGGATGGTGGACCATTCTTGATACACACGGGAAACTGTTGAACGTGAAAACCCCAGCAGCGTTGCAGTTCTTGACACACTCAAACCGGTGTGCCTGGCACCTACTACCATACCCTGTTCAAAGGCACTTAAAGCTTTTGTCTTGCACATTCACCCTCTGAATGGCACACATACACAATCCATGTCTCAATTGTCTCAAGGCTTTAAAATCCTTCTTTAACCTGTCCCCTCCCCTTCATCTACATTGATTGAAGTGGATTTAAAAAGTGACATCAATAAGGGATCATAGCTTTCACCTGGATTCACCTGGTCAGTTTATGTCATGAAAAGAGTATAGTGCACTACTTTTGACCATTTGGGACGCAGCCTGAGAGACTGAATTGAGGGAGGCCATGGAGTGCACTGCATCTGTTCATGGATACTGTCTGCCTAGGCTCCACTGCCAAACCCTGATGGATGGTCAGAGCTTGGAATGCCATGAACAATATGAAAATACTGGGTGCACTGCACACATCACAAATGGAGCATTTCAGATAACGTGCACTTGGATTCCTCTGGATATTATTTGGAAAAGGTTTTCAGCTTGTTTATTTTCTCATTTTGAGATATCATTCTATTTAAAATTGTGATTCAATTCATTAGCAATACTAGAATAACTTTGGTGAACGTGCCATCCATCACTGTGATACGTAACTATCTATTTATGTGATATATCGGGATATTCTTTTTGACTCTATATCGTATCATATTGTTTTGACTATTGCAATATAATTTATTGCGCTAATTGGCTGTACCTGCACTAAAACTCCAGTATTTTTCTTTCATAGCTTGTACTCCATCTTTTTAAATAGGGAACCAATTTGTTTTCAGCACTTTTATTTCCATGACTGATCAAAACTAGTTTTCTCATGGCACTCTCTTGTCCCTCTGCAGCAGACATGGTGAGCAATATGTTTGGAACATCGAATCGCAATAAAATCACATTATCGATACATATAGAATCGCAATACATACTGTAACCGGCACTTAAGCATCGCGATAATATCATATTGCGAGGCCCCAGCCCTATATTTCTGGCCATATTAGACTGTTATACTCCTGTATGTTAGGCTAAGAATCAACTAGAACCTCTGTAACAACCCCACAGAGACATAAAGCATAAAAAACACACCACCAACAACTTTTATACAATGAGCAAAGAAAAAGCTGTCAACACATTCAGTGTGGCTGCTTATTCAGGCTGGTGTTATTACTAAGAAACGCTAAAGGGAGGTGATGAAATAATGTGTTAACACCTTTCCTGCCTGTAGTGTACATCTGAGGCCGTATGTATCAAGCTTCTTAGAGTAGGAATGTTGATCTAGGATCAGGTCCCCCCTGTCCATGTAATTCTAATTAATTGTGATCTAAAAGGCAAGACTGATCCAAGATCAGCACTCTCATCACTACACAGACACACTTTATGAATACAGGCTCTGTAACTGAGTAAAGTGTTGAATGTTGCTGCAAAGGTAGTCGACACAGCTCTGTTTTGTACGCAACTCTGGCTCCCATGTGGAAGAATCCTGTCATGCAGTGAAATGTGAAGTTACTGTTCTCTCTACGATTGCTCTCTTAACCCCTCCACATGCTCCAAGCCTCTTATAGGCTGCTTCTCATTCAGGTGATTACTCAGTCCAATCACCTCATTCTTTTGCCAGTCCGTTAAACATTATGTGACACCCTCCAAAGCACACAGTAATTGGAAGCCATGTGGTTTACACACCTGCCTGTCTCAGAAACCAGGAGGGGATCTAATGCATAATACATGTCTTATTTTCTCCATCCACATTCTACTGTGGGTATAGCAACAATAAGTAACCACTTGTTATGAGTAATAGGCCTAGATTGTGTTGCTATGGACACATTTCCATTTAGGCATAGCAACAGTTTTGTCAATAATAATGAAACCATTACCATGTTTAACACTATTTCTGGCTGGCACAACATTGAACAGCAGACTGTCAAACTGGCATTTATTATAATCTCAGATCCATCAAGATCTCAACAGCTTGATCATGGAGCAAATACGGAGGCCCCATACCAGATCATTCCCTCCTGCTCTCTTGGACTTTTATGACTATGTACAATTCACCATCTCAAACAGTGCTAGAAAGTAATATGCTGCGTCTCAAATGCCTCCCTATTCCCTAAATAGTGCACTGCTTTTGACCAGGGCATTTTATCATTGTATGGTATATTAACAGGATCAACCTTTATCAAATAAAGTTGATCTCTCTATCCTTTTTCAATGAAATAACATGTTATTGGTGGGCTTGGTTTGCAGTAATGTTGTAAAGTTCTGCCAAGGCTCTGGCCGGGGTGTTTTTTCTCAGATGGAGAAAGCAATTTAATCAAGTTTTCCCTTACATAATTGGATCAGATAGAGAATGAAAGGTGAAGCATTCTTCAGTAGGCTGTAAAATAAGATGATGGCTTGACCTTAGAGAGAAGCAGCAGTTTAGCCTTCCTACTTAATAGGTTAATTCCAATCCCTGACAGACAGGATGTAGGCTACATGCAGCCTGGCTTACACATTGCAGCAGAGCACAAATACCCATGTTGGGTCAATTTGACAAGCAGTTAGGACTGTACAATCCAGTTATTCAACGATTAGGATTGTACAATCCAGTTATTCAACAAAGAAAATACACAAACACAAACTAATGTCTTGATAACAGTAGGCTACTTTACACGATTGACTGGAGAAGAATAAATGTAGGCTATGAAACTTTTCTTCCTTTGGCCCTCAACCACCACTAGGATACTCACCCGAATCACAGTGGCCTTTCTGAATCAAGATGACCGGCGGATTTATACTGAATTCTGCTATTTTGTTCTCGGCTCTCAAGCGGCACATACTGGGGTAAGTCCTTCCATCACTTCCGCACACGGGCTCTGCAAGGGTGCAAACGCATGAACCGCGAACTCTGAGAATTCCAGCTGGATATTCGCATGTCATCCCCTCGCCACAAATGCCAATACCGCGCTCCCCGCAAATGTCACCTTCTCCAGACGCGCATACTGTACAGCATCCGCAGCTGTCCTTCACTACACCGTAGTAACACTGTGATTCAGGTGCGGCAGGGCAGCGGGAGGCATCACAGTCTTCCGGACACGGAGTTTGTCTCTTGCGAAGTAAACGCGCATGAACCACAGTGGCGAAGAGAATGCAAGCCACAAACTTTATCATGGTCCAAAAACAGGTGATAACCCTTGTAAATTCGTAACAAACAATGAAAAAGTTCAAGTCCTCTTTCCCGTGTTGCTTATACCTGTCTATATCACCTCCAATTGTATCTAATTTGAATAATTCTGCCTTCTTTGAAAATAAAATGCATATGCAAAATGTGCATTCAGAATCCACAGCTTCAGGTTGGTCTAGTTTGCAGTTTAGTCTAAATGTCTTGTAACTATGTTTCCGGTAGCAGCAGTCTGATTTTGAGCTCTACTCTGTGTTGCTCAATCCTTTAAGTCCCCCAAGTAAGCTCTCTGGAATGCAGCTGTGTGACTTTATGTAGAGGATTTGAAGATACCCACAAGGAAGGAGCACCCTTTCACTTTCAGCACAGCTGTCTCCTGTGTGAATGATCAACAACACTCACATTACTGTAACTCACTTGATGACATTTGACAGCCTAAACCATTTTGAGGATTTATAAATTATCATTTCAGTGGGTTGGTTAAACATTTCTGCATAATATACAAGCCTGGTCTATTTAGTATGCTTGATGTTACTTGACGTTAGGTTACATTACATTGATTAGATGTAACATAGTAAATGTAAATCCAGGACACTCAAATTACACTGAACAAAAATATAAAAACGCAACATGCAACAATTTCAAAGATTTTACTGAGTTACAGTCAAATGAAATAAATTCTTTAGGCCCTAAAACTATGGATTTCACGACTGGGAATACAGATATAAATCTGTTTGTTACAGATACCTTAAAAAAGAAAGTAGGGGCGATTATAAGAAAACCAGTCAGTATCTGGTGTGACCACCAGTTGCCTTATGCAGCACATAGAGTTGATCAGGCTATTGATTGTGACCTGTGGAATGTTGTCCCACTCCTCTTCAATGGCTGTGCGAAGTTGCTGGATATTGGCGGAAACTGGAACACACTGTCGTACAAGTCGATCCAGAGCACCCCAAACATGCTCAATGGGTGACATGTCTGGTGAGTATGCAGGCCATGGAAGAATTGGGACATTTTCAGCTTCCAGGAATTGTGTACAGGTCCTTGTGGCATGGAACTGTGCATTATCATGCTGAAACATGAGTTAATGGTGGCGGTGAATGGCACGACAATGGGCCTCAGGCACATCCTGTCTCAATAGCTTCAAATTCCTGTGCATGGCTTGGTTTTGCTCTAACATGCACTGTTCAACGTTGACTGAACCTTGAATTACCACAGGTGGACTCCGTAAGTTGAAGAATTCATGTGAGGATTCTCATGGAAAGCATTGCCCTGAGTCTTATGAGCCATGAGTCAGGTCAAGACTAGAGGATGACGAGCATTCAAGGCTCCCAATAGCTTTCTACATTTGGCAGAACTTTTTAAAACAGTTTCATCAGCTGTCTGGGTGACTGGTCTCAGACGATCCCGCAGGTGAAGAAGCCGGATGTGGAGGTCCTGGGCTGGCGTGGTTACGTGTGGTCTGCAGTTGTGAGGCCGGTTGGACGTACTGACAAATTCTCTAAAACGACGTTGGAGGCAGCTTATGGTAGAGAAATTAACATTAAATTATCTCGCAACAGCTCTGGTGGACATTCCTGCAGTCAGCATGCCAATTGCACGCTCCTTCAAAACTTGAGACGTCTGTGGCATTGTGTTGTCCAACAAAACTGCACATTTTAGAGTGGCCTTTTATTGTCCTCAGCACAAGGTCCTCCTGTGTAATAATCATGCTGTTTAATCAGCTTCTTGATATGCCACACTTGTCAGGTGGATGGATTATCTTGGCAAAGGTAAAATGCTCACTAACAGGGATGTAAACAAATTTGTGCACAACATTTGAGAGAAATACGTTTTTGTGCATATGAAAAATTTCTGGGATCTTTTATTTAAATTCATGAAACATGGGACCAACCCTTTACATGCTGTGTTTATATTTTCGTTCAGTGTAGTATGATATTTTATGTTTGGAATGGACAGTATGTTACATATAACGCAAACGTCTAGCAACCTAAAGGTTGAGTGTTCGAATCTCAACATGGACAACTTTAGAATTTTTGCTAACTAGCAACTTTGCAACTACTTACTACTTTTTAGCTACTTTGCAACTACTTAGCATGCTAGCTAACCATCGTCCTTTAACATAACTTCTACATTTAACCATAACCTTAATCCCTAACCTAACGTAGCATATCATACTAAAGCAATCGAATGTAATATATCATACTAAACGGATCAAATGCGATCTACACACAGGAAACTATTGAGCGTGAAAAACCCAGCAGCATTGCAGTTCTTCACAAAAACTGGTGCGCCTGGAATCTACTACCATACCCCGTTCAAAAGGCACTTAAATATTTTGTATTTGCCCATTCACCCTCTGAATGGCACACATACACAATCCATGTCTCAATTGTCACAAGGATAAAAAATCCTTCTTTCAGCTGTCTCCTCCCCTTTATCTACACTGATTGAAGAGGATTTAATAAGTGACATCAATAAGGCGTCATAGCTTTCACCTGGATTCACCTGGTCAGTCTATGTCATTGAAAGAACAGGTTTTCTTAATGTTTTGTACACTCAGTGTATGACCGCTATTACATTGGTAAGCCAATGTTATGTAACCTAACATAAAATAACATATACTAAATGGAGTGGCACGGATTTTAGTAAAATATAAAACGTTTTGCTCGGAGACCAGGTTCCAGCATTGGCCTGCATTTCAGATTAAGTTTGAATGATTAAGGCAAGATATGAGCTGCCTGTTATCTGGACTTTAAAAAGGCAAACACATACAAAAAGTAAAGATAAAGTAAAGTAACAATGTTGGTAACTTTATATAAGTGATCTGATTCTTTACCACATAAAGCTCTCACTTTACCACTAATGGCTTATCCATCTACCAAATGTCACCAACCGAAACAATACAATCCATCACACACATCCACATTCATATTCTTGTTATGAGCAAGGATTATGTATTTAAAGGGATACTTTGGGATTTTGGCAATGAGGCCCTTTAGCATGCTAGCAGATACCCATAGACTTCCAGTCATTGCGCTAACAGTAATTAGACAAAGTTTCTCATGTGCCCTTTACTGTGGGTATGGCTTCCATCTGGCCACTCTACCATAAAGGCCTGATTGGTGGAGTGCTGCAGAGATGGTTGTCCTTCTGGAAGGTTCTCCCATCTCCACAGAGGCTCTGTCAGAGTGACCATCGGGTTCTTGGTCACCTCCCTGACCAAGGCCCTTCTCCCCCGATTGCTCAGTTTGGCCAGGTGGTTCCAAACTTCTTCCATTTAAGAATGATGCAGGCCACTGTGTTCTTGGGGCCCTTCAATGCTGCAGACATTTTTTGGTACCCTTCCCCAGATCTGTGCCTCGACACAATCCTGTCTCGTAGCTCTACGGACAATTCCTTTGACCTCATGGCTTGGTTTTTGCTCTGACATGCACTGTCAACTGTGGGTACTTCAATTAATTGAATTTACCACAGGTGGACTCCAATCAAGTTGTAGAAACATCTGAAGGATGATCAATGGAAACAGGATGCACCTGAGCTCAATTTCGAGTCTCATAGCAAAGGGTCTGAATACTTATGTAAATAAGATATTTCTGTTTTTTATTTTTAATACATTTGCAAACTTTTCTAAAAACCTGTTTTCATTTTGCAATTATAGGGTATTGGGTGTAGATTGATGATAATTATTATTTTCGTTTTAGAATAATGTTGTAATGTAACAAAATGTGGAAAAAGGGAAGGGGTCTGAATACTTTCCGAAAGCACTGTATGTAAAATATGTTGGTAGATTGAGGGTTCAACTTTCAACTGTTCTGCATATTATTTTTGACATTAGTTTTGTGTTCTTGCTGCAAAGGACAGACAAGTTCGGGCGGTTGCACCAGAAGCGGAAATTCATCCAGTAATACAAAAGAGCTGTTACAGACAGACTGATCCACTAGTTTTACATGAGGTAAGACCATAGAGTTGTACAGACGACTCTAGTGCCCAAAAGCCAGTTTTAGCATTGGCAGCACCATTGAGGACTTTCACAATTTTTAAGTAATCAACTGGATGGGACGTCCTATGGGTTAAGGAAGGATCACATAATTCCATCCAGGTCATTAGGAGGGATCAGCCAATGCATTATACTCGTGATCAAACATTCCATAATTGCAGGTGGCAGTAAATCAATTCAATTTGTATTTGTCACAATAGAACAGGTGTAGACTTTACCATGAAATGCTTACTCACGAGCCCTTTCCCAACAATGCAGAGTTAAAAAGTAAGAAAAATCCAAATTAACCATTAGCTAATAAGAAACAAATAGGTAATAGTAACACAATAAAATAACAATAATGAGGCTATATACAAGGAGTACCGGTACCGAGTCAATGTGCAGGGGTATGAGGTAGTTGAGGTAATTGAAGTAATATGTACATGTAGGTAGGAGTAAAAGTGACTAGGCAATTAGGATAGATGATAAACAGAGTAGCAGCAGCGTATGTAGAGTCTGATAGTGTGTCTGTGTGTGTGTGGCGTCAATATGCATGTGTGTGTGAGCGTATGCAGTGTGTGAGTGTGTTTGTTGGAGTGTCAGTGTAGTATGTGTGAGTGTGTCGGTAGAGTCCAGTGAGTGTGCATAGAGCCAATGCAAGAATGTGAGTGCAAACGAAAAGGGGGTCAATTCAAATAGTCTGGGTAGTCATTTGATTAACCGTTCAGCATTCTTATGGCTTATGTTCAGGAGCCTTTTGGTCCCAGACTTGGCGCTCCGGTACCGCCGCTTGCCATGCGGTAGCAGAGAGAACGTCTATGACTTGGGTGGCTTGGGAGACTTGGACAATTTTTAGGGATTCCTCTGACGACACCACCTGGTAAGAGTCTGGATGCATGAGCTCGGCCCTGATGATTCACTGGGCCATACTCACCACCGTCCTGTAGTGCCATTGCGGTCGGATTGCCAAGCAGTTGCCATACCAAGCGGTGATACAGACAGTCAAGATGC